GTAAGCTGAAATCATCAGCTCAGTGCTTCTGGAATGGGGAAAGGCTGTCCCTTCATCTCACAGAAACCCTTAATTAATTGTAGGCTATCAACAGCCAGGGGACTTTCTTCTCAGAACCCTAGCCAAGTCCAGCTACTGATATAGAGTCCCCAAATAAAAGAGTAAATCCTGCTCAAGAAAGCCAAGTAGTTTTTCAACACTGTTTGGTAATGGAGCATAACTAGTACATTTGTATTCCCACACAAGAGAAGAAGGGTTGGCGGTATGTGGGCCCTACTTGAGCTGATTTATTCCATCTACACCAACATTCTCCCTGTATTAGAAAACTCTCGCATGACTTAAATATAACAATATTTTTCATCCACCATTATCTGCAGCTTTGCCAGAAAATCAACAATAAATGAATTCTGAAAAGACATACTTCAAAATGCCCCACAAATGAAGAGCTTTAGTTTGCCACAGGGTGCCAGTGGAAACTGGAAAACAACTGTGTGAAAAGCAAACAATTTTTCTCTTAGAATGATATGAATTTTCTGAAAACCTTCAGAATTATATCCACTAAGAAGTTTCCTTATAGCACAGAAAACACCTAATGAAAAAACCCCAAGGTATCTAGAAAGCATGGTATGATGCACAAGGACAGCTGCTGTTTTGTTTCTGCTCATATTTATGTGCACAATAAAAGCACAATTTAAACCCAAATATCTAATATAAACTGAATAGGAATTTGTCATGAAGCCAATTAAAAGCATGATTTTAAAACCCAGTGTTATGCTTTTTAGGGCAGACAGTGGAAGACCTTGCATGTAAAAGTAATTTAAATCTAAATCACAGTAACTGTAGGAAGCTCTGTCTTTGTCCTCCACCTACCATACCAAGACTTTCCCACAGGGGAGAACAACAAATAGCAAATAAGTTTTGATTGCTTGGGAAAGCTGGGCAAGCAAAGTAACTTCTTAATTACATTATTTATAATCATTTAAAGTCTGCTTCTTTTGATGCTGTGTAATTATGGTACATCCCAAAGTTATAAGACGCCTCTTTTCAATTTGCTCCCTAGTAGAAAGAAATGCCGTAAGGCATGTTTCTCCAGAAACTGGTGGTGTGCTAGCAAGTAGAAATTTACAGATGGTTAGAAGATATACATCAGCACCTGTATTTCCCAAGCTCACAAGAAAAAGTGGGTATTGATTCAGGAATGTCCTGCCCATAAATCTCAACTTTAAAATCTGAAAACAGAACTCTAAATAAAAAAACAGATCACTAAGAGGTCACTTCAGCAATCTGTAGTTTAAACATTAAGAAAATTTGATTTGTTACATAGGCTGAACACTATTGTAACTTCAAAAGAAAGCTCTTTGACATAGTGTGTATGGAGATACTATTGCTTTGTTTTTAGAGACATAAAAAAAAATCACATTAGCCTATAATATTTAATACCATGTATGAATTACAAAGCTGAAGTATATATAATTTCAACTGCAGTATGAAAAATCCAGCATGAAAAGATTAGAATATTAGAATGGATAATTATTTCATAACTTCTTTCAAATGCAAGTTTTCTTGTTCTGTTGAGTTTTGGTAGTTTTTTTTATATTTTTTTTCCCCACAAACTAGAAATAACTATATTTCTAAGTCTAAACTTTCTGAGTAATAGTCACAGTGTGGTTTTGCACGTCAATTTGGTTTTAAGATTTAAAAAGATTTAAGATTTAAAAAACTTCCCGCTCCCAAAAGAATTTTTCTTTTATGTGAAATGCATAGAATGCATAGAAATGCATAGAAGAAAGATGTAGGATATGGGGTTATATATTTGCTGAAGTTGTTAATGGTTATGCTCACCAGAAGGCCCTGTGGGAAGGCACAGCTGCAGGCAGGAGGTTGGAAGTTGGTTTGGGGGGTGAGAGGTGGCTATGACTTGTGGACAGCAGCACTGCTGAGCCAGCCAATGGGTGCCCTTCCTCTGGTAAATTCTGGTTCTGTCTGGTTGAGATTAAAGGTATAAAAGGGAGTGATTTCTGCAATAAAGTGATCTCCTTTGGATGAATAAGGGAGTCCTGTGTCTCTTTGTTCCCCACTGCTATAGTAAGCTTTTACAGAAGTTTTCTGTAATATGTTTTATTTTCTCTTTTGACAGTTGTTTTATGCAGAGTGCAGATGTTTGCCACATAACCATGAATGTTGGCTGACCTGCCCAAATCTCAATAAAAAGCAGTTGTAACAAAGACTTTCTGCAAATGGTTATGCAAACAGAAATCTTCATCTCATGTATATGAAATATACCCTCTGTAATATATTCAAAAGCACTTCTGGGGAAAAAAAAAAAAAAAAAGGCTCCAGAAGTGTATGTGCTGAAATCACAGCTAAATGCTTACTACACTGATAAGGGATATAGATTATAGCCAAAACAATATTAACAGCTAAATCAAGATGCAGATTATTCTTTCAGAGCTCAAATTACATTGCCAACCTAATCCTCTCCCCATTTCAGCCCCATCCCCCAAAAAATAGGAAAGCAGTGTTTGTGTTTTTTCAGTAAGTGAAGCAGGTACTGTAGTCTATCTACTCTTCTCCTTAGATTACCATGTATTGTAATCCTGGGGTAAAAAAAAAAAGACACTTAAGTGTCTTAAGTGTCAGCTGCCCAGAACGGCAGCAAAAGACAAAGGAAAGCTGTGGTAGGAAATCACCAGACAGCCAATGCTCTCATAGACACACCATCCCAGCCCATGCAATGTGCAATTTATCATCCTTCTCTTAACTCTGTCCTCTCTGACAATGAAGTGGGCTAGATCCCTCTCTGCTGGACCCTGAAAATTAGCACACTCTGCTCCCTTGAAGATCTAAATGCAGGATTCCAGTTTATCTTTAAATACTCACATTATAGCCATTACAGCTAGAAGGGGCTGGAAAGTGACTGAAGCCAACTGCCATCATAATCAGATCCCTGTTTTCTTGGGAAAATGCAGTCTCACTAGGGAGAGATATGAGAAGGCAATTGGCCATCTCCTCACTCCATTGTTTTACAAGAATTTATGGGTGGGGTTGAATCTGTTTTTGGAAGAGACATGATTTGATATTTTCCTTCCAGGGAAAAAAAAACCTAACAAAACCACAAATCACCCCACATCAATTGCTGAAAGCTTCCAGATTCCTGATGGCCTCTGTACCTCCTAAATGGAGATAAATGTCCAGATAACTCAAGGTCAAGAATAAGTCTTGTAATTTACCCAATTGTCTTTTTGTTTGTCTGTGCATACAAACGTAATTAAGGGGTGGCCAAAAGTTCCAGTGAATCCCTTCTAAGGTGGCCCACACAAAATGGCCCTGATAACATCCCTTTATTTTGTTTTCATTGTATGGATGAGATCATGTTTATTTACATCTTGCAAAATGTATCCAAGGTCTGACTTAGAATTTTTTCAATGCCTTTAGATGGCTATAAAATTAGTTTTAAGTTCCAGAACTTCCACAACATGTATTTTGATGGTATTAGGCTTTACATATTAATTTAATGTTAAAAAGACATTAAAAACTTGCAACACCTGAGGTGCTGATAAATGCCCATTGTAAAATGAACCAATGATGAGTGGATTTCAATGTATTAATAATTATTACCCTATTAAAACACAGAATTATCAATTTTGCACGGTAAATTATGGGATTATGCTACTCATAATTAAACAGTACCATAGTAACCTTTTTTAAAATCTTGACTAAGTGCCTTCACAGTGCCTTCACAGAAGCACACTACAGGCAAAAATGCCATCAGTTTATTTCTGAATTTTCATGATTAAAGCTACTATGTATGTATGCATGCCGCAGGAAAAAAAATTAACTGCAAAAGTACACAGCTTGAATGCTGTATCATGTCAGAAATACATGGTAGGTGTTTGGGAACACAATACAATTTTTTCTTTCATCATTATGGAACTCACTTTTTTGTAATTCAAAATGAATGCCAGACAAGAACTATTGTTCCAGCATCTCAGAAGAATGTAACTCAATTGTCAGCCAAATATAAGTTCTCTTATCTGTCAAATTGTCATTCTTATAATCAGATCTCCATGGGCAATTTTCACTTTTTCTAACAAGTAAATGGCCAGATAGTGCAGCTGAGTAAGAAGGTTCTGGGTACTGAAAATATACATGGCTCATATACCTGTAGGTAGATGTTAATTATCAGTGTACAAAGATTATTTCAGCAGTTTTTATCCCAGAGAAAATTCAAATTTGAACACTCAAAATATTCTGGTTCATGGCCAAAGATAAATCTTCTGTGCTTTACACAGCACACGTATGTAATACACCTGGTTCTAAACAAGGTACTGTCTCCTCCTTTCAGTAACTGTTACCATTCATTATAAAAGATGCTATTTTGGGAGAATAAGGACATAATTTAAAAACAGGATTTGTAGATAAACCTTTTCTAGAAGTTCCTTTTTATTTTCACCCCAGGAGGAAAAATTGGTAAAGAAAACAAACAGCTTTCTCTTTCTAGGTAGGAAGATAAAATAAATACACTAGAAACTAAACTCTTCACAATTTGTGTGATTTTCTTCATGATGTTGCATCCCTATACATGATTTCTGATGGACTGAAATTCAATTTACCTAAACTACTGTTTAGGTAAAGCAAGGGAAGGGATCTTACATGATACTCCTTCAGGTGCCAGCCTAATAAGTTACCTCTTGGCAAATTCTGGTGTGCTGTCCTTACATCAGTTCCCAGTTGTTTCCAGACAAGTAGTACATCAATCTTCCCTCTCTGCCAAACACCAGTGGCTTCCATAAAATGAGTCCACATTTTGAACACATTCCTCTGGCACATTTCCAGGAATATTGAGAGCCTAATGACCAACCTAACATGAATAAAACTTAAATTTCTCTCTTGAAAAACACAAGTAATGCTGAAACCGTATGTCAGATGCTGCAATGCTTTTGTTGCTGGCACAATTTAGAATTTAAAATATGATAAGGGGAAAAAAAAAAGACAGGAGAAGTTTGGAGTGCAAATATTCTTTGGTTTACTCATTAAAACAAAAGGACACAGCAAACAGCAAAAACACTGGCAATTAAATAAACAGCAAATTCTTTATATGCTTCCTAACAAAAAGTCTTTGGCTGTTTGAAATGTATTAACTTCATGCTTTTAAGTACATTACAGTGTCTAGAAAGTCACATTTTTTATCCCCAATGTCAAGGCAGAAAGAAGATGAGGAAAAAAAAGGATAAAAGGTAGGAAGTAAGAAAAGAAGAAAAATTCTTTAAAATTCCATTTTTCCATTAGTTAAATAGTATGTAACACAATGATAACACTAATTTCTGTTTCTACTTTGATTGTACACAAAGAAAATTGGCTTGCAATTTATTTGTCAACTTTGGTGAATTCACATCAGACTAGAGTATCGAATATACTGACTCACATCTTTTTGAAAAGAATTGCCACCCTTCCAACCCCAATGACTGATTCTATGATTCTACTAGCAGAAATCTAAATATCTTAAGGAATTGCACAGAGAAGTCACTGTGTTTTATGTTATCATAGTCAGAGTTAAAATTCTGTACCACAAGCAGTTTCTTGGGAATTCTCTTCCCCAGTTCAGCTATTTTCCTGTAGCTTATTCCTCAAATAATCCCCATGTAGTCAAAGGAAGCAAGCACCTGTGCAGGTCTATAAGGATCTCTACTTGGGAGATCCTGCCTTGCAGACAGGAAGTTTTCACCTCTGAGCTGGAGATGCACAAGCCTGCTGTTAAGACTCTATGTGACAACATCACTGATTTTATTTAAAACTCAATGCTCCATAATGGCAACACTAGGAAGCGGTTATCTGTGCAGAGAGCATAAAAGACTATAACTGAATCAAATATGTCTATTTTACAAGTAACTGAAAGAAATTACAGAGTGTACCATCACCACAATAGCCTGTTACCAACATTACTGGATTCTGATAGTTTAGAATTAATTCTGTTAATCTGTGAAAGATGCGGATTGTCTGACAGCATATTGTTTTGGTTTGTATATCTATCTTGCAAGACTCTTACTCTACTTGAACCATTTTGTTTGATTGTCTTTATCAAGCTGGTTCCATAGGCAAAGCACAGTAAAAAAAGTCATGTGCAGTTTTTCTTCCAGATGGACTGTGAATAGCAACAGATAGCGCATAGTAAGAAATCAATTAATAAAGATATTTAGGAAAGATTTGTCATAATGTAAAAAAACCTCTTTGCATGCTCCCTTATTCCTTCATAAATCAACAGTGTTCCATCTACAAATAACTCACAGGCAGTCACCTCTAATACAAGTACTTATATGTTCCCCTCATCTAGCATTTTGTTGACCCCATCACAAAGTTTCTGCAAATGGATTTTATAAGGTCCAAAGGGATTGTACAAGGCAGCCAGGAATTCACAATCAGAGAAGTGATCAAACACATTGTTGACGCGTCCGTGTGACTTCGCAGTTAGATGACGCTGAATGATTTCATGAAGCAGCTCTCTACATTCATTTAACAGTTTGGACAAAAAGTTCCTGTCAAAGGTATAATCCACCTGATGGAAACTGACCACGGTCTTAGCCAGCTGATGAACCTTCTTCTTGAATTTCTCCATCAGGGCTAGTTCATCCTGATTAAACTGGTTGTTCCTGTAGAGAATTGCCAATTTGAGGACTATTTTAATGAGGTTTTTGATGATCTTCTCTGCTTCTTTTTTATTTTGTGTATATTCCTTTGTAACTCTGTAGAGCTCATCTAAAACATCACTGCTTGTATCATCAATCAAAGTAGTTGCTATTGATTTGGACACCATTTTTCCAAGGATCTTCTTCTGGGCCTGAATGGCCAGACTTTTGGAGTTGAAGACATCTGTGGCCACTAGGGGAAGAAAAAAGTCAGCAGTCAGTACTTCCAAACAGACAATCTCTGGACAGCAAGTTGAGGAATATTTCTGTATTTATATATTCACAATAGTCTTACTAAGTGTCACAAAAATAATGCAATGTAGTTGCAGAAAAACCCATATTTTAAATCCCTCAAACTCTCTTCTCTTTAGGTTTACATTCTTTCAGACTGTTTTACTTTTGAGAAAATACCAACCAAACTTGCTCAGAAATGGTTTAGAAGATCTCTCTATATAGGGATTGATGGAATTTCAAATTGAGGCAATAAAACTGCCTTATTTGATTAGATGAGTCACAAATCTAATCTGATTCTTGCATTCATTATGAAATCTGACACCAGGATTATTCCAATGTCAAATAATCACTGCTACTCAAATAAAGATGATAATTCATCTTTATCACCTTTATCACGAAGCGACCATTACAAAGCCCTTTCCTGCTTAGCATTTTACATGATCAGTGAATGCAGATACTACACATTTTTATTTTTTTTTTTAGATATCTATTTTATACATATCTATAGATATCCATGCAGAAATATAAAAGGAAGACAAAAATCCATGGCCAGCAAACAACACTGAGATTCTCTGGATGAAATCTGAAGACACTAGTTTTCAGAAGAAAAGCAAGTACCAATTAACATTTCTACGTCCTATACTTTAAGCAGTAAAAGCAAGACATTTACTTTCTAGGGATTGTCACAACAATTGTGAGCATTACCTTTTAAAAGTATCTTTCTGTGATCAATGAAGTAGACCCTAGACCATATTTCCACGTCTAAAACTATGTTTGATAGCACTAATATGCCCAATGACTGTACTTTTGTCCCTGTACAATGACTGTACTTTTGTTCAGACACTTAAAAGACCCCAAACAGCCCTTCAGAAACTTGACTTGTGAAATGTTATCACATGTTCTATTGTCAACAACAATTTTTAAAGCACATTTCCTTGGTAGCACTCTCTCCATTAAGACACACACATGAGTTGGTATTTTCAGGTAGAATTTTCTGGGAAATGGCTGCCTTTGTGCTGCAGCTCTCCTGGAGTCTCAGATGGGTGAAGGAAGATGACATCTGCTTACATTTACTATACATATGAAAGATTTGCTTAGCAAACACATGGACTGGAAATATTTTCTTTTTTTTTTTTTTTTCTTCTTTTAATGAAAACATCAACTCTGCAGATGTCAGACAGTAAGTCCCCGAATTTGGAAAAGGTTTCCTCTTAACTGCTGGTATGTGGGCAGCTGGGTGTGTTCAGATGCCGGGTGCCTCAAGGGCTCCAGCAAATAGAAGAAACTTGTCCTTCAGGACATGAAACACAAATCTGTACTCTTAATTCAAGAGTGTCTTCGAGAAACTTAATAACAAGCTCTTTTTTTATCATCCCATAAACCTTCAAGCAGGTTTGTTTGTTAAAAGTTACAGCGCATATCAGTATTTTGTTTTGAAGCCTGAAGTGTCTGAGCACATTTTCAAAAATCTTTACTACAAGAGGGCACTCAAAAACCAAAGAACCCCTTGTTAACTATCTTGGGCAAAGCACTCAAGATCACAAGACAGACACACTTCTCAACCACAGAGATAGAGAAAACATTAAAGATGCTGAGCAGTCATTTTGAACTGAAAAATATTTGATTTGTTTTCTGTGTTTTTAAAGCTAAAACTGCAATGTTTACTATTAAAGTAAAACTAATTCAAGTTTTCCAAAAGGTGGTCAAATGTCAGAACTCAATAGCCAATGCTTTACAAAGATCTACCAATGAATGATAACTTTCTTTCCCTTCCAAAACAGGAATATCAATTGTTATTTCATAACTTTTATTACTAAAAGTCTTCTTATTAATGCTCACAATGTCTTCTTTTTGACACTCCACACAGAAATAGATGTTCCTACTAATAACAGCTAGTGTTGTGATGTTACCTTCCAAAATTTGCAGAGAAAAACTTACATGATACAATATATCTGTATTTTTAAGCATTCTTTCCCAGGAAGCTGTAGGCATTCTTATAAAATAATATCTCCACTGTAATTCCAGTGTGAACAATTCTATATTTCTAAATCCACAAAACTTGCCTCCAGAAAGTCATGCACATACTCAGGTATAGTTCTAATATCATAACCTGCAAATTAGCAATTACAAGAAACTGAAAATGTGGCAGTATGCAAATATTTTACAGATTTTCAACAAAAAAACCCTCTTATATTACATAATTTTACATTTTACAAAGTACAGCTCAACATGTAGTTACCTTTGCTAACTAAAACAGGAATTGCTCCATTCCAAAAGCTGCTGAACTCTTAATGGTATTTTTCTAATAACTGCCCAAGTTTTGGGGGTATCCAGCATGGCTTACTTTCTATCTACTTTGCTACAAGTACACCAGAAGTTAGCTTCATTTTCCCTGTGCTGTTACATGGGTTCTAATTTAATTGCTAAATATGTATATTTCATACTTCAGTATTTCAGCCAATCCAAAAAAGGAACTTGCTAACTCTTTGTAGTTTATAATCAGAATTTTTTCTCCTTACCAATGACTGAAAGACTTAAAATGTATTTCATGGCTTGAGTAAAACCCTAAGCAGCAGGATTATAGAGCTTCTTCAGAATGAATGCACATACTTCCTCAAATAACAGTAAAACCATTACTTACTTGCTCATCTAATACAATTGCAGTTTTTATTGCTGACAGCAGAAAGAGAAGCAAAATACCCAAGGTGAAGACTGGCCTGTGGCGTATTTACTCTGGTAAATCCAGCGCACCCTTTATCTTGTGCTTTGAAACATTGTCAGAAGCAATCACAGAGCAAATACAGGGTTTTCCTCCTCGCTCTAAGGGCAGCTCTTCTCAGCTACCTTTCTCTCCTGCCTGAAGTGCTTCATTTTGCCTTGGCACCTCAAAATGCAAAAATACATCTCAGTGGTTTCACTTCCCCAGAGAGAGAGCTGAAAAGAAATTGCAGCGCTGAGCAAGCACCGCAACACTGAGGGCTGCTCCTGCCAACTGGAGCAATTCACAGACAGGGAGGGAGAAGAAAGGTCCTGTGACTCGAGAGGACAGGTGATGTGTCAAGAAGAGGTTAAAACATTAACCTGGTGTCTGCAAGTGGAGATGCTCAGTGAATCAGAGGTGCCTGACTCAGAGGTCGTGCTGGGAGGGCAGCGCTCCCAACTGAGGGCTGCCGGGCACCCTCTGTCAAACCTCTGACTGCAATGTCAGACACGAGCACCTGAAAGTGCACCTTTGTACAACTGCTTGGGGATGACTGTATGCAGCCACCTTTTGAAAGTCATTACAGTAGCTGGCCTGGATGTCTGGCCACACCTTTTGTGTTGACAGGCTACAGCCTTGCACTTTAAACTGCAATAGTGTCATTAGTGACCTGCGGGTAATCCCACTAATTTTAAGCATCTCACAGTTTGGTTTACCTCATGACTGCTCTTTAGAGATCCAATTTCTTTTCTCTGTGGTTTTATACTTCACTTTTTAAAAGGCTGTCACCAAAAAATACCCCTTTGAAATCAATGGGATGTCATTTTCTGCACAAACTACACAAATAAGAATGATTATGTACAGCAAAGCCACACCTCCAGAGAGGAAAGTAGCTCAAGAGTTCTTGAAATCTTGCTTCTATTGCTTTGAAATTCACAGGATCAATCTTGGGAATAATGCAGACATCTGCAAAATCTCCTAGTTTATTATTTAAGTGAGCAAACAAGGTGCTAGAGACAGCCTCCTGTGAAATCTGTGAACTTAGTGATTATGAAACTTTTTGATTTTCATAGCCAAGCACACAGTATATGTGTTTAACATGGTATTTTGTGTATTAAAATGAATAAATACTGGACATGTAGAATTCTGGATGTGTTTTTCCCCAAATATTTTACCATATATAGAGGTTTTCCTTAAACTGTGGTGGAAGTGTAAACTTTCCGTGAAAATTTAAAATTGTGGTTAATTGATTCCCAGGAGATTCCTATAAACGTACAAGGCTGCAATGCTGACTTTTCCCTCACATGGAAGCTAGCACACCTCCCTCTGTACAGAGGCAAATTACTATTTCACTATTACCACATACCCTACATCTCAACTTTATTAAAAATACAAGACAAAACAAAACAAAAAACAAAAACAAAACAAAACAAAAAGGTAGTATTTGGAAAAAAACACAACTTTTTTTTTCCACAAGACAATAGTCTGCAGTAGATTCAACATCACTTGCAGCTGAGTGTACGCAATCTCATGTACATTGACAATGAATACTTGAGTCACAGAGTATTTTTAAACTTCTCATAGTGAAGGAGCATTAAAATAAAAAAGCATCTGGCAAAAAATAACAGTGAACCATCATAAATTCCATGGTCAAGTCAAAAGCTGAGCTTTCTGAACCTCACTGTGTTGATAGAACAGTCCCTAAGGAAGAGAAAATATGACTGTGAAACAGTGCTCCAGTTCTCATTTTAGTGACTGGAACATCACGTGCTGCACAAGTAAGACCCAAAAATGATGAGGGTTTTTGGGAACAAAAACACTGACATGGGCTTGAGAGGAAAGAGACAGCACTGACCGAGGGCTTCAGGCAGCATTTAAAAGACCATCACACAGCCTTGAGAAATATGGGAATGGACGTCCTGCCGGGAATCCTGTGTGTATGTGTGTGTTTACCTCTCTGCAGACTGTGTGAGAGCTACAGCTAGAAGCCTGCACATGCCATACAAATTGCATGTTCAGTCAGACTCCTGTAGTGAAAGAGCATCATTTCCCTGGAGGGAGGCAACTTGAAATCAAGTGGAATTAGTGTTATGCTCTCTGAGTGTATGTGACTATGAGTCATGCACCTCCAAAATCATGAGATTGCCTAGATATGAAGGGATAAAAGAATTACTGAATTTTTAATCGTTTTTTGCCTTCTGCTTTCTGGGTCTTCACAGGTCTATTCTTGTTTTCAGGAATGATGCAGGCCAGAAATG